GTACTGCGAGAGGTGTCCATCACATAAACAACAACTGAAGGAAAAGAAGAAGCCTGGAAATACAAAGTAAAACATACTTTGATTAGAAGTACATGCTGTTCAACAGCTATTTATTTCACACAGCTTCTACATGACTGTCAAGTTATGTAGAAAGCACTTACCAAGGCCTCAGTTATGATGGTTCCTGATGCTGACCAAGTGAACACCTCTATTTGCCCTGGTGTGTCAATAAGAACATACCTGGTAAGAAGTCATCCCCCCCCAGAGGGAAAATTAGTTAAGCAATAGGTCCTATTCCAACTAGATTACCATAAGCATGTAACAGCAAATGACATGATTATTCTGTTACAGATCAGGAAAGCTTCTCCCAGGCAGTGACAAGATTAATGGGCATGCTTGAAAAATTCCTGTGTGAATTTCGTAACTAAGAAGCACATACTCCCTTCAGATTCTATTAATGTTAAAGGCTTCAATTTGATAGACACTTAGTACTGCAAACTCTTCAGACGAAGAATTATTGCCTGTTTGAACAGTGCATGAAATTAAAGTCTACTGGAAGACAAGAAAAGCAGAACTGGAATCAGCAGACATTTCTTCAGTGTATCTAAAGAAAGTCTAGTTTATCTGGTTTAATCCTATGCCCTTTTCCACATCACATTCATGCCAAAGCTGAAAAACAACTAGAAAACACACAGAGCGCATTTTCAGGATTTGACATGTTTTTCCCACACCGATCCCAGAAAAACTGAACTTGGCAGAATGTACTCACTTGGATGCATTTTGTCTTTTTTCAATAAACTTCATCACCTGATTGAAAAAAAAGCATAATTTGTATTTAGGCTCACAACAGAAAACTTTCATAATAATTTCCTAACTGTAACTACATTAACTTGCACAGCTGCATGTACGTATCAAAAGAAGATCAAAGTCTTTTAAAGCTTTTCAGTGTGTGAAAATGCCCTACTAAGAAAGGGTGGAAAATGCCCTAAGACTGCACAGGTCAAAGACAATCCTGATTTTGTCTGTGTTTTCATACCCAACTAAAGAAATGGTGTAACAATGCAGTTGTTCCCTAGCTTTTTACTAAGAGATTGGGCACTGATACATAAGTTCCTACCTCAGCACTGATTTAGCATTATGATTTAAGAGAGCAATTATCAAACAAACCCAGGAAAACTTAACCCCTTTCTAGAACTGAGCTTCCCTACTTCACAAGCACAGCATCCATATGAAAGAACATAGTGCAACAGAACAGGTATGTACAAAGACTAAAGAATTTTTTGCACACATGGAAATTTTACTTTTAAAAAAGCTGAAAAACTGAAATATCTCAAATGAAAGCTAATGCAGTTTTGCTGCACTGTAAAACACATGGTTCTGTACAGAGAATATCCTAACACCAAACACACAAACCACCCTTGCAGTCTCCCAGCACAGTATCCGTAGCACACTATCACATAGGAACAACCTCATACCTGATCAAATCTTGTAGCAAAAAGATTAAGAGAGGTCACTATTCCACCATTTGGGCCCAGCCCGTATCTAGACACTGCATTTAGGAAAGCAGACACAGTAAAGCAAACAATCCATCTACGTACCAAACTGAAACTTATACATGGATGCTTTGCTGGTAACTCTAAATCACACAACAGCAAAAAATCAAGAATCATATCCCCCACCATCTTCATCCCATCTGAATATTAAATGTAATAGTCACAATAGCAAATCAAATCCAAACACCATATATTATCTTCATCTGCACAAGCTTTTACTTGGGAAACAAAAGACCTCCATACCCTTCTGAAGTGCAGTCATTTTACTGTTAACGTTACTGCCAGCAAACTACAGTGCAGCAAAAGCTAAAAGTCCAGCGACTGAGATTCAGAAAGGTAACAGTACTTGGATTATGGTCAAACAATGTGGAAAACTGTTATATATTGTATACGGTCAACAATGTTTTGTTAAAGCATGAGGAAAAGGCTTCCGCAAAGAAAGATACAAGCTCTTCAAAAGAACAGGGAACAGGAGCATCAGATCTGGTAGAACATACGTTTCTAACCTCACATGCAAGAAACACGTGGTCAAAAACTACTGATCTTCACACAGTATTCTACATTACTGCAATCCACACCACCTCCTGCATCCTTCAGAGTGTGCAGAGGTGACAGGCTATTTTCACAAAATCTGAGACTTCAATCATCATTATTTAGACAGAAAAGGATACTGTTTCATGACTTCTTTGTACTTCACAGTATCCCTGATATCTAGAAGAGAAAGAAATATAAACAGTGTTAGGATATTACTTTTAAAATATCCTTCATCAATTTGCTGACAGATGAAAGCTTTTTTAGCAAGTCTCCTTTTGTCTCAGTAATAAATCTAGCACCATCAGGAAAAATCTCCCAAGTAGAATAAAATCTCACAGATTAGCTATGCTCTCAACACACACCTGAAACCCAATGTAAATCATGTGAAACACCACCAATTTAAGTATTTAGCTGTAACTGCTTCAGTTGAATTTTATTCTCAGCTAATCAAGACCAGTTAACAAAGTATATGTATCTAACTATGTTACTAGACATCCACCACTGAACAGATACCCTCATTATTCAACCGACATCAATAAAACAACTTCTGTGTCAACACTACCTTTCTTATCCTCTGAAGAGAGTGACAAACTGCATAAAGTTTAAGAGACAGGACCCTTAGAAACCTAAAGATTATTAAGCCCTTTGGAACGGCTAAGCATAAAGTCTGTTCTATTAACGTATTTTCTCTAAAATCGATGCCTTTTAAAATACACATGCAATGGGAGCATGCCTTTGATCCTAAATTAAAGGTTGGTAGGAGAAAGAATTTAAATTGAAATAATTAAAAAACAAATCTTTAAGTCCTTCTTATGTTAGGACTTGAAATCTCTTAAAGACAATAAAAACAAACCTGCTGCCCCATCCCTAGCAGTGTTCAAGGCCAGCTTGGACGCAGCTTGGAGCAACCTGCTCTAGCGGAAAGTGCCCTGCCCGTAGCAGAGGGCTACAACTAGATGAGATTTAAGATCCTCCCCAATCCAAACCATTCTGTGGCTCTAACCAAATACCTCACACACCCCACCGCTCCCTCACCCCAAGAAACACGTGAAAAGCAGCATACTCAACATAACTTTAATTACGCATCGCAAAACCACGGGATAGGGCAGGCGGACTCACCGATGTTGGCGGGGAAGGGCAGGTCGTGCACGGCGGGGTCCAGGTTGATCACGTAAGGAGGGCAGAGCTGCCCATGCAGGTGCACCGCGAGTCGCTAAGGAGACACAAGGAGGCGTCAGGCCCCGCTGGTGAAACCATCAGCTCCCCATAGCCCACCGACCGCCCCTCACCTGTACGAAGGTAGTTTTCCCAGAGCCGGCCATGCCCAGGACCAGCACGCACACCGGAGCCGCTCCTGCCTCCACTTCGCTCGCCGCCGCCATCTTCCCAGCACCCACTTGTCCTTCCGGGTTGCGAGGAAGACGACGGGGGCGACAGGGAGGCCGCGCCGCTGCCTGCCATGACGCTCACGGGACCCGGCTGTGGCCGTGCCTCCGCGGGCCGGGTACGCACTCCGTGCTCCCCACACTCTGGCCGCCGCCGCCGCGGTGCTCCCGCAACACCATCCGCTGCCTTGAGGCCGGCGGCCGCGGTCAGGGGGCGGCCGGAAGCCAGTGGGCGGGACCCCGCCGCCGTGCGCGGGAGGGCGGGGCGTCTGCTGACGTGGCGGCGGCGGCAGCACCATGGGGGGCAGTGGGGGCTCGGTGAGTACGGGTAGTCCTCACGGCACCGGGGATGCCGGCCTGGGTGGGAGGATGCGGCCGAGCGGTGGCTCCGGGAGTGAGGGAGGCACCCGGGATGCCACGCACGGGGCAGGAAGCAGCCACGGGATGGGCTCTGCCGGTCGGGGTGGCGGGAGCGGGCCGGCGCCACCGGAACACCCGCGGTTGGATTTCTGGTTCGCTCCGCGGCTTTCACTGGGCTCACGACTGAAGGAGAGGGCTCCCGGTGCTGCTGCGGGCGTGCAGCGCGGCCTTGGCTCGGTAACCGACCCCTGGCTGTTTGCCGCCCCCGTGGCTGAGGCCTGTCACTGAGCGGACGGGCGGCGAGCGGGACCCTCCGGGCTGCCTGAAGAGCGGCTAGTGGTGGCCGGGTTTCTGTTGGGAGGCCGAGGACAGGGGGAGCGGCCCGCAGGAGAGGCGAGCCCGGCTCTGCTCGGTTGAGGGTCGGAGAGGGACCCCAAGCAGGCGCTGCCGGCACCGGCCCTGCCCTTTGTCCGAAAGGCCTTTACTGCTGGAGAGGGTTGTCCACGGAGTATGTCGTAGAAATGGAAACTTGGGGCTGGAACGGGGAGTTCCCCAAGGGGTGCTGAGCCGTCACGCCGGTCTGTGTCCATGGTGTTTTCCCTCGGGGGTAGGGACGCACATGGCAGTGCTTCTACAGACACCTCTGTAGCTGTAGGACAGACTCACTGGCAGTTACTCCATCAGTCTCCTGACCTCAGTGAGAGTTTCTATGCTTTGTTTAAGTACCATCTTTTCAGATGCGTTCCTGTGGAACAGCCTATCTCCAGCAGCAGGACATGTTCAGGTCACAGAAATGTTCTGTGGTCCATAGGGAGACTGAAATGGCCCCATGTGCATGAAGCTTCTTTGTCTTCTCAGGCTCTAGATCATTGTTCCTCTTTTTCTAAACTGTGCAAGGAAGTTGGCTTTTTTTGTTTTCCAGATGTCTAGCCCTCGAGTGTTCCTAAACGTTAGGCTTCTGTTTTGAAGTGGGAAGTACAGTGGTTAAATAACAAAGCATTCAAAACTGAAACACCAGTTTGTCTAGAAGTTTCCTTCACAATTTCTGCTATCAACTTCTCAGAAAGGAAGGCTAAACAAGATCATCTGTACTGCCCTTTATTTATCACAGATCCATAACTGTGGCCTAAATTCTTTGTGCTAATCTTTAATGCAAAATTTGTTAGTTCTTAAAAAAAAATAAAGTCTTACAACATGTACCATGTTTGTCAGTCATCAAGGTTCTTCTAATGGTAGCTTAGGCCAGCTCATTGCAGCTCACTGCACCCACTTTCTTGTTCAGTTTTGTTGTTACAACTTCACAGGCCTAATTTTTTTCTAGCTGCTCCTCACTGATGTTTCTCCATGTTTCTGATGTAGGGGCTTCCCAAACACTGCTGTTTGCACTACTACAGGTGTGTAAACCATAGCAAATTTACACGAACATAAACATGCAATTGACTTTTTCTTCCAAAGCAGACAAGATATGATCATAGAATACTTAGGATTGGAAAGGACCTTAAGATCATCTAGTTCCAACCCCCCTGCCATGGGCAGGGACACCTCACACTAAACCATGTCACCAAAAGCTCTATCCAGCCTGGCCTTAACACCGCCAGTGATGAAGCATTCACATCTTCCCTGGGCAACCCATTCCAGTGCCTCACCACCCTTACAGTAAAGAACTTCTTCCTTATAGCCAGTCTAAACTTCCCCTGTTTAAGTTTGAACTTGTTACCCCTTGTCCTACCACTACAGTCCCTAACGAATAGTCCCTCCCCAGCATCCTTATAGCCACACTTCAGATACTGGAAGGCACTATGAGATCTCCAAGCAGCCTTCTCTTCTCCAGGCTGAGCAGCCCCAACTTTCTCAGCCTGTCTTCATACAGGAGGTGCTCCAGTCACGTGGCCTTCCTCTGGACTTGTTCCAACAGTTCCATGTCCTTTTCATGTTGACACCAGAACTGCACACAGATCTCACTCCAAGTGAGATCTCCCGATAGCAGAGTAGAGGGGCAGGATCACCTCCTTCAACCTGCTGGTCATGCTCCTTTTGATGCAGCCCAGGATACAGCTGGCTTTCTGGGCTGGGAGCACACACTGCCTGCTCATGTTCATTTTCTCATCATCCAGCACCCCCAGCTCCTTCTTCACAGGGCTGCTTTGAATCTCTTCTCTGCCCAACCTGTAGCTGTGCCTGGGATTGCTCCCACCCAGGTGTAGGACCTTGCACTTGGAATGGTTAAACTTCATCAGGTTGGCATCAGCCCACCTCACAAGTGTGTCGAGGTCCCTCTGGATGGCATTCCTTCCCTCCAGGGTATCAACTGAACCACACAGCTTGGTGTCATCTGCAAACTTGCTGAAGGCGCACTCAATCCCACTGTCCATGTCAGCAACAAAGATGTTGAACAAGACCGGTCCCAACACCGATCCCTGTGTAAAAAAGACTTGAGACAACACTCTTGGCATGGGAAATACAGGAATTATTTCCTTAAGGGAAAAAAAATAAAGTAAAAACTAATAAGCTGGGATCTAAAATATTTGTCATTGTACCATAAAGTCCAGGCAGAAAGCAGGTAACACTAAATGAATTGGAGACAAAGAATACTCCATCAAGCCCCCTTGAAAGAGGAATGTTTGGCTTTCATATGCAGAGTGTGGATGGGCTCATCCCTATTTTGATTCCTGTTCTAATTCAGATGGAGTTGACAAGGTTAAACACTTCCTTGTTGCAGAAAGCAGTGGTTTCCTTTTCAAAGGGTGATGTGCACATCCTCAAGGTGCAGGTGACTGTGTATAACTGAAAAGTAAAACATGCAAAAAAAAAAAAGAATTGCGCTGCTAATGTGAAACGTTCTACTTTGTTAGGAAACCAGGCCTGGACATCCCAGACAACAGAAGGTCAAGAGGTCTCTGGGAAGCAAAAAGTATGTGAATGTTTCTTGTTAGTTTGACTGAGGGCAAGAAAAAAAACGAGAGATTCATATTGGAAAACCATATCTGGCCTTTACATAATATTCTGAATTTTAAAAGTTGCAGGTGATTTTGGTTTGTGTGATGAGGATGTCGACAGACTTTGCTTACTGGTTTGTAGGAAAAGTGCTTTTCTGACACTTGAAGGCGTACTAGCATTCATTTATTGTTTTGGAAAGGATTGGGAATATAAGTATTCAATGCTCAAGACAAAATGGTACTCCTAAATATATGTGCTTTGAGTGTGATTGCAACTGAAATGCTTTAATTTGGGAATTCCTCCACCCATCCTTCTTAAGTACCTCCTTAAACATGGTGTATACTGATCTGAGCTGGTACCGTCAATGTCCCCACTTCCTAATTTCTGGATTGATGTGTTACAACATGTGAACTTCATAGCTCTTACGTTAACAGTATTTGCCCGAAGAATAGATACTCTGTGTTTCTTTCATAGCTCATGATTTTACTGTCTTGTACAGCAGTGGAAATGTCCATGCATTTCAGGACTCAGAGAAGTACATGCAAATAGTAAAGCAAAGTTCTCTCTGACCTCTAGGAAGTAAAATAACTGCTGCTGGCCAGTCTAAAGCAGTCTTAATGTAATGTGATTCGTAGGATATACTACTAGTTTGTCTTCATTGCTGAACACCTTGCTGGTTAAAATTCTTACTAGTGTTAAGTCTTTTAATTGTATAGTGTCAGCTCTGACTCTGGGAATACATGCTGAAGGAAACCTTGCCCTTTGTGGTATGGAAAACATGTCTTTTGAAATGATGGGCTGCAGAATAATTTTTATATTCAACATTGACTGCTTCAGGATAAACATATTTTTATATTGAGATTAACTTGTGCTCTCTTCTTAAGTGAAAGGTTTGAGGTAGAGTGAATGTATTTTTCTGTTCCTCTCAAGAGCTTTCTAATGTCATTCTCTAAAAGATGTACTGAAAAAAATAATATTTAGGATGTTTTCTCTTGGTATCACTTTTCAGTTCACAAAACTTGGGAGATTCAGTGAACCGTGAGATGAAGTTTTAGGGTACTTGGGAAGGTGAAAGGGATGTTGTCTGTCAAGTTATTGTGGTTGTGTGTGTATATATGCATAAATATGCATACAATTTCAAGTTGATGTTTTCCAGGTCTAAGCAGTTTGAGGAGGTGGAAACTACTGTCCTGGGACTGAACAGTAGATATGATGAGACAGTGAGCAGCATTTCTTCTGCTGCACCAAAGGGTCAAGTGAACGGCAGCACAGAGTCCAGGAGCAAGCGGACCATTCGCAGGCCTGCTTACTGGCTGGAAATGAGAGGAATCAAAAACAGCGTTAACAAGTCTTCAGAGAGAAAAGGTACCCATCACTTTGGCTTGGTGCAGAACTGTTTTTCTCTCTGCTTTTTTTATGAGAGATGAGATGACTTCTGAAATGCATGCTGCAGTTCAGCCACAAATTGCAAACTTGGTAATGCTGGTCGTGTATTAGGAGAAATAAACTCCCTCCACTGCAGAAACACAGGTAAAATTCTCTAATGTTACACAGTTCCTTTTGAGTGACTTGTCTATTAAAATTAATGATTCTGTGGCTGAACTCAGTTTTACCTGTAGAAGAGATATGTATAGGACTTCTGCCAATCATGTCAGAAAGATGCTTTGAGAGCTTTAAAAATAGGACAAACCACACTGAAGATGTGCAAAAGGGAACCAGGCACAGTATTCTGGATTAGACATGGCTTTTGTTGGTGGTAATTTTTTTTTTTAAGGATTATTTTATTTCTTTTATTTTCTTCTGTCACGATTTTCTGATTTGGAGTGGTTTGGGTCTTAGGTTATTGTAGGGACATTCGGATTTCCTGGCCTAGGAGCCGTTTTCCAAACTTGCTTGTGTGGCAGAGAGCCAAAACTTTGCGCTTCTTTAATGCACCTTCTTATCTTTAAGTCAGAATCTGTATTCCATCCTGTTGTGGGGAGAGCTGAATCTAGTAGCTTCATAGAAGTGAAGTTTCTGCAGCTTCACACCCCCATATCCAACCAGTAGCAAGACTAGGCATGTATTCCTGTAGCTGTAAGTACACGTATATAATATGTACTCACAGCCAGCCACACAGATCAACATGAAGAGGCATGCTCAGCACTCACACAGACAGTACCAATGGCCTCCATCCTGTTTCCCTCCCCTCCTGATCAGGATGAATATGTGTTGTGAGAGAAGATAAGCCTATAGAAAGAGTGTATATAGAAGAAGTACATATATATATGTACATTTGTGTGTGCACATATATGTGCAATGTGACTCTGTCCTGTAGCTGAACTTACTCTACTTAGGACCTGGCCTTTGGATCCTGGTCTCCTCAACTGCTAGTACATGGATGTACTGTCCCCTCAGGCCTGCAGAGTTATGCCAGTTCATGGTGTGCGCCTCCTTGCAGACAGGCTCACGCTCAGACACTGCTCTTTGCTGGTCCCTCTGATATGGTGTCATGCATTACCAGGCCTGTATACTGACCTGTTTACAAGCAAGTGGCCCTTTTTATCCTCTTACACCTCTGTTTTCCCACACTTGATCCTCCCCAGGTAAGCTAATTCCCTTCCTTTCCCTTCCTATGATACCACTTCTAAACAACCCAGTCTTGGTGTAATTGTGAATTGCTCTTCACTAGTATACAATATGTCATGTAACACTATGTATTGACACCACACTCCCTTCTCACCACTCCGCTACTTACCCCTTCTAAAGGGTGCTCTAGAGAGCGGCTCATGTTGACTTACCCCGGAGTGTCTCCTGGGACAGACCTGGGAGGAAGGTGTCTGTTTCTTGGAGTCCATAATTTGTGTTCACCTGCCTGCCATTATGCTTCTGTACTTCTCTGTGTTCATGGAGATAAGCTTTGATAGGCCTGGAAATTCTGAGAGGAGTCAGAATATTTTTTGGTTTTCCCATCTGCTGTTGTTTCTCTGTGCTCCTTTGTGTGTGTGTGCGGATAAACTTTTTATGACATAACTTAGCACCTTGTGGCTCTCTTCCTGAGGAGTATCATTTTTCCAGGCCATGCTGTGGTACTGTTTCTTCTGTATGTTCCATGTGGAATTGCAGGTGTGGAGTGAATTAATATTACTGAGTCCAAAAGCTGTGTCTAGCCCACTGGCGTCCAGGTGCCTTACAAAAAAAATTACTTATTTTCTTAAACTATTGAATACAAGGATAAGCTGAGGCAGCAGCAGACTCAAAACTGTAATCCAGACTGCATAATGAGACTGAAGCATTTCTGTTCTTACTCATTAGCAGAAGTACTATTGAAAGGCAAGAGGAAATCTGAGGAAGTGGAAACTGAAGATCTTAAAGACTCTCCAAAGAAGAAGCGAAAGATTTCAGGTAATACAAATAACTTGTAATTCCTAGTTACAAGCCTCCAGGTACTTCAGACTTCCTCTCTGCCCAACTGTTATCCTTTCTAGTAAGGCTTTTGGTGCTGTGTCCCACAGCATCCTCATAGATGAGCTGACAAAGTAGAGGTTAGATAAATGAACAGTGCAATGGATTGAAAACCAATCAGTTGAACGTCTGGGCCCAGAGGGTTGCGATCAGCAGCAAAGTCTAATTGAAGGCACATCAGTAATTGTGTACCGCAGAGGAAAAAAATGGAGCTAGTACTGTTTAAAGTTTTCATTAATGACCTGAACAGCGTGCACCCTCAGCAAGTACACAGATAATGCAAAATTGAGAGAGTAGTGGTGTACCTGATGGGTGTGCTGTTATTTGCAGGGGCCCAGGCAGGCTGGAGAATTAAGCAGAGAGGAATCTTTTGGGGGCTGACTTTCTGGAAAGCAGCTCTGCAGACTGGGATCTTGGTGTCCTGCAGGACAGCAAGCTGACCATGAACCACCAACTTGCTCTTGTGGCAAAGGCAGCCAACAGCATTCTAAGCAGCATTAGGAAAAGCATTGCCATCAGGTCAAGGAAGGGGATCCTTCCTGGTCAGCACTGGTGAGGCCACATTGGAGTCCCATGTCCAGTTCTGGGTTCCCCAATAGAAAAGAGACATGGACATACTGGGGCGAGTCCAGTGTAGTGGTGCAAAGATCATTAAGGGACTGGAATATTTTTCCTATGAGAACAGGCTGAGAGAGGTGCGACTCTTCAGTCAGGAGAAGAGATGGCTCAAGGGGGTATAAATACTTCATGGGAGGGAATGAAAAAAAGGGAGCCACTCTTCTCTGTAGTGCTTGTTGACAGGACAAGAGTCAAAGGGCACAAATTAAGCCACACAAAATTCTCTCTGAAGACAAGAATACACATTTTTTTTACTATGTAGATGGTCAAACCCTAGCCTAGGAGTCTGGAGTCTCCATCAGTGGAGATACTCAAAACTTGACTGGACACATTCTTCAGCAACCTAGTCTAGCTGACCCTGCTTGAACACAGGGGCTGGACTAGGTTGGACTTGTTTTTGTCATCAGTGATTTGAAAAGATGTAGACAGCACAAAGCTGCAAGAGATGGGAAGTGTGTGGGAGGAAAGGCTAAAATTGAAAGTGGTCTTGACATTAGAGAAACGTTTTTAGAATGGACTATAGTGTGTAAAATTAAAGATATAGTTAGGAAGAGCTACCAGAAAAAAAGAACAACCTCCTAGGTGTCCGTTCTTCAGAAGAGGATTTGAGATTTATAAGAGATCAAAAGCTGAATAGGGACTGACAGTGTCATACTTGTTTTTATGAAGACAGATGTTAGACTGACGTGTTTGAGCAGAAATACAGACTTTCAGACATTTTCAGTCATTGCTGTGATGCAGGGTCACATTTGGAGTGCTGTTTCCAAAAGTGGGCATTGCAGTTCAGGAAATGTGTGGACCAACTGAAGAGAACAGGGAGAAGAGGGCAAAAATCATAACCCATGAGAAAATACTGAAACATTAAGAGCAGTTTAGTCTAAAGAAGACCGGAATGAGTAGAGGAATGGGGCTGTCCATTTGGTTGTCAACAAGTCATTAGATTGGCTCATCCATAGGGTGAACAAAGGATGTTCAAGTGTGAAGAGCTAAGCTTTTGTGGTTGTATAGGAACAACCATACAGATTACCAGTATCTGAATGGGACTAATGCCTGCAGCTGTAAAGAGCTATGGATTTTGAAAGGGAGTAGGGAACACAATCTTGAAATTCCTTAAAAATAAAAAAAAAGTTGAACATTTCTGAGTGAGTAGCTTTGAGATGAGAGACTAAATAGCAACCTCATAGTAAAAAATACCTGGTTTTCATTCCATTAATTTAATTTTCATTCATCTTTTTTTGGTGGAAACAAGGACAGGCGGCCTCGGAAGAATACAGGGATGTTGTCCAGGAAGCTAGGGACCAGGTCAGGAAAGCTAAGGCCCAGTTAGAATTAAACCTGGCTACGGATGTGAATGATAGCAAGAAGGGATTCTATAATTACACTGCAAATAAAAGACAGACTAGGGACAATGTGGGCCCTCTCCAGAAGCTATCAGGAGAACTGGCTAGCCTGGATTTGGAGAAGGGTGAGGTTCTGAATGACTTCTTTGCCTCAAGTCTTCACTGGCAAGTGCTCTGAGCACACCACCCAAGTCCTGGAAGGCAGACGCAGGGACTGTGAGAATGAAGACCTTGGGCGCACTGTAGGAGAGGAACTGGTTCAAGACCATCTTAAGAACCTGAACATGCACAAGTCCATGGGACCTGATGAAATCCATCCACGGGTCCTGAAGGAGCTGGTGAATGAAGTTGCTCAGCCACTGTCCATCATACTTGAAAAATCATGGCAGTCAGGTGAAGTTCCTGACGACTGGAAAAAGGGAAATATAACCCCCATTTTCAAGAAGGGGAAAATGGATGACCCAGGGAATTACAGACCAGTCAGTCTCACCTCTGTGCCTGGCAAAATCTTGGAGCAGATTCTCCTGGAAGGCATGCTAAGGCACATGAAAATCAACAAGGTGCTTGGTGACAGCCAGCATGGCTTCACTAAGGGAAAATCCTGCCTGACCAATTTGGTAGCCTTCTATGATGGGGCTACAGAACTGATGGACAGGGGTAGAGCAGCTACAGGACAAAGGGTAACAAGTTAAAACTTAAACAGGGGAAGTTTAGATTGGCTATAAGGAAGAAATTCTTTACTGTAAGGGTGGTGAGGCACTGGAATGGGTTGCCCAGGGAAGTTGTGAATGCTCCATCCCTGGCGGTGTTCAAGGCCAGGTGGGACAGAGCCTTGAGTGACATGATTTAGTGTGAGGTGTCCCTGCCCGTGGCTGGGGGGTTAGAACTTGATGATCTTAAGGTCCTTTCCAACCCTAACTATTCTATGATTCTTTGATTGTATAACAAGGCTCACAGAATTAAGTCTTGTTGTCTTTCTTGTTTGTGTTATAACAGGAAAAAAACAGCAGGCTGGAACACAACAAAACTCCAAAAGAGAAGGTCACTGTGTTCAGAAAGAACCAGAAACCTATGGCACAGGTAAGAAGAAGCAGCAGTTTATCAGAATTGTTTATAAAACAGTTAAAAGATAAATGGGATTCTGGGACTTACATCTGAGTCACAGCTGTGTTTCTAGTATTTCCGTTCACTTTATTGTTGACAAGGAAGAACTGGCTGCTCTCCTTTTGGCACTGGGTCAGTACTGCAGAACAAGAGTGGAGGGATAGTGTAGTTCCATGTAGTTTTACAGTTGCATAATGGAATAGTGAAGGAGGAATCACTTTTGAACTGATCAAAGGCCTGATAAAATAGTTGCACCATAAAACTCATAAAAATTTTTACACTTTTTTTACTCAGGAGAATACGTTTGCAGGAAAAACTCTGTAGCTGTTACTGCCAAATCGTCTCTTCTGGCAACTTGGTAGCCAGAGACACAAGCAGTCAATCCTAGAAAAATAACATTAGCCTTAACTCAGGAAGTGGACTCAGTATGTGTAGCCCACAGCACTCATTAAAATACCCCAGTTTTCTGCCAAGTGCTATTTGATTCACAGACTTATTCCCAGACACCTGGAAAAAACAACCCCTGCCTATTATTACTGGGCAAAGAGGAAAGCCTTTAGGTCGTTTTTAGGATAAGAATTCAGGCAGATGAGCTGCTAAGCCATGATCCAGAACCCATTTCAGTAGTTTATCGTTCTTATGGATTATGCCAAGCTTTTGCTTGGCATGTTAAAAAGAGGCGAGGAACTGGAAACTGCCACACAGGGTACTTTTCCCTGGCTGTTTAATAACTTGGTCTAGTGGTGTTTTGTTCACTTTCAGTGCCAAAACTGCTGACCAATGTAAATGGAGTTCTCTGGTTAGCAGAACAGAAACACGGGACTTTGCCTGAAACTGTTCAGTCACACCTGTGACTACTTTTTACTGTGAAACCCCTGCATGCTAATGTAATTGTGTAAATGAATAAACCAAAAATCTGTACTGAACTGGTGGAAGAACACTCCTTGCAAGGGAAAGGTAGGATTAAAGATTCCTTATAAAATGGTCTCCCAAAAGGAGTGATGTGTGCCTTGCCGCATGACCCTTTTAAAGCTGCAAATGAGCTAACCATTGAAGTATATCTGAACATGAGTTTGGTAGCATGTGCCTTGTTTCCTTCTAGGATTCATAGTTCATATGGAAGGAAAGAAAAAAAAAAACCAAAAAGATACTGCATTTGCAGTTCTATTCCAAACCTTTTGTTTTGACAGGTAGTATGGAAGAGCAATGGTCTTTGGAAATTCAGGACAAAGGCCGAGTTACCTGTCCAACATGTCGGGCTGTGGTGAGAAAGACTGTAGAAGGCCTGAAGAAACATATGGTAAATTGCAGGCAGGTAAGAACAAGAGAGATGAGCAATGTTTTTTTTACTTCTCTTCACCTTACTGGAAGAAATGTTTGTACGCTGTTCTGTGTTGCACTTAAAACCAGTTTCATCTCATCATCATGGCTCTAAGCAAAAGTTCTTTATACATCTGTAAGAGGCTGTGCTTGCTGCTTCTTGCTCAGTCTTTTGCTGGAGGCTTGGGGTAGTGAACAGAGGTTTAGGTATTTCATTGTTCCCCTAAATATGAGACTCCATGGGATCTCTTCTATTCTTAATGGGCAGTTACCAGGCCCAAATAAAATATTCTGCTTTTCTTCTTTCTCCCAGAGAGTTACCTAGTGCTTCAGTTAACTTAGTTACACACACACTGTCCTTGTTTATTTCCAGGAAATGTTCACATGTCATCACTGTGGGAAGCAGCTGAAGTCTTTAGGAGGGATGAGATACCATGTCATGGCAGACCATAACAATCAGGTAACACAACTGCTGTGCATCTAAAAATCCTACAGGCAAGACAATCTTTTGTTCCCTCCCCAGTGCAGAGAAACAGAACATGGTGTGTTTGTTCAAATGTTGTGGCTGTTCAAATCTTGTTACTTGTTATTTTTCCTCTGAGATTTGACATCTGAAAAAATAGTAGAACGTTAATAGAGATGCCAGCATGATAGGGCTTAGGAAAAAAAAGATGGAATTCTGTTTAGGCTGGTTTTCAATGAGAAAAAAAAAAAATAAATTAAATGATTGCTCATTAGGCTGCAATTTTCAGTCCTTTCCTAGAATGTAGTTTTTCTACATCCAGGGCAGACTAGATTTTAGTTCAAAGGTCAAAAACCAGAAGCAGCAGTTTAGTCATACTGAGATTACAATCTGCTTTTCCTCTTTGTTATTTACTCAAAAAAGGCAATATCTCCTGTTGTAGTTCATAGAGCATAGAAAAGATCATAGAATAGTTAGGGTTGGAAAGGACCTTAAGATCATCAAGTTCCAACCCCTCTGCCATGGGCAGGGACACCTCACACTAAACCATGTCATCCAAGGCTCTGTCCAACCTGGTCTTGAACACTGCCAGGGATGGAGCATTCACAACCTCCCTGGGCAACCCATTCCAGTGCCTCACCACCCTTACAGTAAAGAATTTCTTCCTTATAGCCAATCTAAACTTCCCCTGTTTAAGTTTTAACTTGTTACCCCTTGTCCTGTAGCTGCTCTACCCCTGTCCATCAGTTCTGTAACCCCATCATAGAAGGCTACCAAATTGGTCAGGCAGGATTTTCCCTTAGTGAAGCCATGCTGGCTGTCACCAAGCACCTTGTTGATTTTCATGTGCCTTAGCATGCCTTCCAGGAGAATCTGCTCCAAGATTTTGCCAGGCACAGAGGTGAGACCGACTGGTCTGTAATTCCCTGGGTCATCCATTTTCCCCTTCTTGAAAATGGGGGTTATATTTCCCTTTTTCCAGTCGTCAGGAACTTCACCTGACTGCCATGATTTTTCAAGTATGATGGACAGTGGCTGAGCAACTTCATTTGCCAGCTCCTTCAGGACCCGTGGATGGATTTCATCAGGTCCCATGGACTTGTGCATGTTCAGGTTCTTAAGATGGTCTTGAACCAGTTCCTCTCCTACAGTGCGCCCAAGGTCTTCATTCTCACAGTCCCTGCGTCTGCCTTCCAGGACTTGGGTGGTGTGCTCAGAGCACTTGCCAGTGAAGACTTGAGGCAAAGAAGTCATTCAGAACCTCACCCTTCTCCAAATCCAGGGTAGCCAGTTCTCCCGAGAGCTTCCTGAGGGGGCCCACATTGTCCCTAGTCTGTCTTTTATTTGCAGTGTAATTATAGAATCCCTTCTTGCTATCATTCACATCCGTAGCCAGGTTTAATTCTAACTGGGCCTTAGCTTTCCTGACCTGGTCCCTAGCTTCCTGGACAACATCCCTGTATTCTTCCCAGGCCGCCTGTCCTTGCTTCCACCTTTTATAAGCCTCTTTTTTCCATCTAAGTTTCCTCAGCAGCTCCTTATCCATACAAGGAGGTCTCCTGGCCATCCTGCTGCACTTCCTTCTAGTCGAGATGCAGCACTCCTTAGCTTGCAGCGGGTGATCCTTGAATATCAACCAACAGTCTTGGGCCCTCCTGCCCTCTAGGGCTATATCCCATGGAACCTTACTAAGCAGGTTCCTGAAGAGGCCAAAGTCTGCTCTTTTGAAGTCCAGGGCAGTGAGCTTGCTGCACGCTCTTCTCACTGTCCAGAGGATCTCAAATTCGAGCATCTCATGATCGCTGCATCCAAGGCTGCCCTGGAGCGTCACATTTCCAACGAGCCCTTCGCTGTTGGTGAGCACGAGGTCAAGCATGGCACCTCTCCTTGTTGGCTCCTCTATTACTTGCAGAAGGAAGTTGTCTTCCACACAATTGAGAAACCTCCTGGCTTGCTTGTGCCGGGTGTACCATCCCTCCAACAGATATCAGGGTGCTTGAAGTCCCCTGTGAGAACAAGGGCCTGCGAGCGTGAGGCTGTTCCTGTCTGTCTATAGAGTGCTTCATCCACAGAGCACTCTATAGAGATCAGGCGACCTATAACAGATCCCCACAGTGATGTCTCCCATTGCTGTTCTCCCTTTAACCCTGACCCACAAACTCTCTGTTGACTGCTCACCTGTCCCCAGACAGAGATCCATACTCTCCAGACTATCCCTAACGTAAGGGGCAACTCCCCCTCCCCGCCTGCCAGGCCTGTCTTTTCTGAAGAGCCTGTAACCTTCCCTTCCAACACTTCAGACGCAAGAGTCATCCTATCATGTTTCTGTGATACATAATGTATCATATCCCTGTAGACATGCACACATCTCTAATTCCTCTTGCTTGTTGCCCGTGCTACGGGCGTTTGTATAGAGGCATCTGAGCTGAGCTCCAGATGAAGCCAGCTCCTTGGCTGGAGCGCCTGAAATATCTCTGCTTTGCTCTGAGCCATTTATTATAGGTGCTGGCAACTGACTGGGAGTGTTGGGATGGAATGATGCCCCCCTCCCCCAGCACATCTAGTTTAAAGCTTTCTTGACCAGCCTGGCAAGCCTCCTACCAAAACGTGTCATCTCCACCAGCTTCCAGTAGACCTGACCTCCCAAATCAAGTCCCATGTTCTAAATACCCAAACCCCTGACTGTGGCACCACTGTTCTAACCATTTATTAACCTACCAAATCTGCCTAGCCTTCTTAAGATGTTCCCCTTTATCCTGGAGAATTGATGAAAAGACTATCTGAGCTCCAGAGCCCCTAACCACCTCTCCCAGGGCTCTGTAGTCCTTAATGGTCTCCGGGCTACTGCTATCTATATCAATAGCACCCACATGGGCAACTAGAAGTGGGTAATAGTCAGTGGGACTAGCTGTGACAATTTAAAACTTTTGAAAAGATCAGTCAGAAGTTTGGGTAAGGTTTAGATAATACATTACTTACATTTTTTACATAGTTCCCACTACTGTGGTTTCTGAACCTACAGCTGTACTAGTAAATGAAATAGGTCAGATATGATGTTCTGGGCCCAAGAAATAGGTCTGTTACCCAGTTCTAACTTTCTCTTCAGGCTGGGTGTAATATTATTATCAAGTAGTGTAGGAAATAGTATACAGTAACCATCAGAGAACAGAGAAGAACTTGAGCTGTATTTTAGCATAGGTGAGCAACCATTACTGTCAGGTGGTCTGCTTAGCTTTAGTTAGGCTTAGTGGTAATGGTAGGACCCATAAGTGTTAAAAGAGGCATGACACACATGCGTAAGTACTTTCCACAGGCGGAAGGGGAGAAAAGTAATGGGAATACATACCCTTGTTCTTCCCAGCAGCTATAGTTTGTGACCATTTCTTAAGAAGGTTTTATTCATAGGTATAAATCTATATGTTGAAACTCTTATTTGCTAAGTGGTTTTCAGGCAGTCTACCACTTTTAAAGATAACTCAGTTGTTCTGGGATATAGACAGTGATGGCTATACTAGGTACACTTCTGTAAAATCATAAGTTGCGCAGATTTAATTACTTTAGAAGCTGTCCTTCAGTAGTGTGCTGAGTAGGGAATTCCCTATGAGAAGAACTGTAAATGCTGAGCATCCTGTGGTTTTCTTTATTTTTTTTTGTTGTGCTTTAGCCAGTTGTGAAGGAGGGAGGAGAATTGGATGAGCAGCTTGAGCGAGACCGCCTTCGGAAGATTTTGAAGCGTATGGGAAAACTAAAGTGTACGAGGGAGGTAAGCTATATTGTGCTAAGTATCCTGAATTAACCAGCAGCAGGTACACAAACCTAAAACATTGAGAGCTCTGCTTGGTATGCTTTGTGCTGGCCACAGCTGTGTTTGTTTCAAGATCCTAGCTATGCTTTTAAGACAGAATATCACAGAATTATAGAATAGTTTGGGTTGGAAGGGACCTTTAAAGGTGATCTAGTCCACCCGTTCCCTACCATGAGTAGGGACATCTTCAGCTAGATTAGGTTGCTCAAAGTCCTGTCGCACCTGACCTTGAATGTTTCCAGGGATGAGGCATTCACTACCTCTCTGGGCAAAACCATTCCAGTGTTTCACCACCCTCACTGTACAAAAGGGTATCTAGTCTAAAACTACCCTCTTTTAGTTTGAAACCATTACCGCTCATCACAACAGGCCCTACTAAAACGTTTGTTCCTGTCTTTCTTGTAGTATAAAAAGGCTGCAATAATCACGCCCCAGAGCCTTCTCTTCTCCAGGCTAAACAAGCCCAATTCTCTCAGCCTGTCTGTAGGAGAGGCGTTCCAGCCCTCTGATCAAATGATCCCCTGGACCCACTTCAACAGGTCCATGTCTTTCCTGTGCTGAAGACTCCAGAGCTGAGCGCAGTACTCCAAACAGTATTATAAACTGCTCTCAGAATTACACAATTGTTAAGGCTGGAAGGGAATTTCTAAGGTCATCTAGTTCAAACCCTGTGTTCAAGCAGAGTGAGCTAGACTCTCTGAGTATTTGATGAGCTGGTGCCTTCAAAGGGGATAAGGAGGACATTGGATTGTTTCTTGTGTGCTCCAAAAGTATTTTGTTAATATGTATTTCTGCTCTTTCCTTAGTAGTTTGTGATAGCTGGGAAGGTGTTTTTATGCATCATTAACTGTGTGTATGTGGGTTTTTAAAATACTGAGATTGGCCACAGCTAGAGAAAGGGATGAAGGGCTATATCTAAGAACATAAAAAACTTAGAATCATAGAATCATAGAATGGTTAGGGTTGGAAAGGACCTTTAGATCATCTAGTTCCAACCCCCCTGCCATGGGCAGGGACACCTCACACTAAACCATGTCACCAAAAGCTCTGTCCAGCCTGGCCTTAACACCACCAGGGACGGAGCATTCATGACCTCCCTTGGAACCTATTCCAGTGCCTCACCACCCTAACAGGAAAGAATTTCCTCCTTATATCCAATCTAAACTTCCCCTGTTTAAGTTTGAACCCATTACCCCTTGTCCTATCACTACAGTCCCTAATGAAGAGTCCCTCCCTAGCATCCCTATAGGCGCCCTGCAGACACTGGAAGGCTGCTATGAGGTCTCCATGCAGCCTTCTCTTCTCCAGGCTGAACAGCCCCGACTTCCTCAGCCTGTCTTCATACAGGAGGTGCTCCAGTCCCCTGATCATCCTCGTGGCCCTTCTCTGGACTTGTTCCAACAGTTCCATGTCCTTTTTATGTTGAGGACACCAGAACTGCACACAATACTCCAGGTGAGGTCTCACAAGAGCAGAGTAGAGGGGCAGGATCACATCCTTCGACCTGCTGGTCACGCTCCTTTTGATGCAGCCCAGGATATGGTTGGACTTCTGGGCTGGGAGCACACACTGAAGCTGGCTCATGTTCGTTTTCTCATCGACCAGCACCCTCAAGTCCTTCTCCACAGGGCTGCTCTGAATCTCTTCTCTTGCTGGTGAATGTTTTATTTTTCCTGTTTCCAAGCTCAGTGCCAAGCTGATCATTGGATTTAGGGTTAGGGGATACTCTAGTAATTGACAATCGCAGAAACCATTGAGGTTTTCTTGTCCTCTGCTGCAGCATGAGACAGTAGCTGTATCCTGGGAATAGCTGAAAGTTTTACTTGCCATCACCCTAATATAGCTGTGTTCTAGACAGTCTGAGTAGCCAACCAAGTGTAAAACCTTCCTCCTTTTCTGCCCACTTCCTCCATTTATATCTGAAAATCTTTGTTTTGTGCATCCTCATTGAACATCTTGCTTCTTCATTCCATATAGTGATTTCTTCTGTTGCCCACTACCTACAAAGAAGTTCTAAGAAACAGTGTCTCCCGGTTGCAGACAATTCTTTGTGCTAGATTTTAGGGGTGCTGGGGAGGGACTCTTCATTAGGGACTGTAGTGATAGGACAAGGGGTAACGGGTTCAAACTTAAACAGGGGAAGTTTAGATTGGATATAAGGAGGAAATTATTTCCTGTTAGGGTGGTGAGGCACTGGAATGGGTTGCCCAGGGAAGTTGTGAATGCTCCATCCCTGGCAGTGTTCAAGACCAGGTTGGACGAAGCCTTGGGTGATATGGTTTAGTGTGATGTGTGCCTGCCCATGGCAGAGGGGTTGGAACTAGATAATCTTAAGGTCCTTTCTAACCCTAACTATTCTATGATTCTATAATATGCTAACATTAAAGTTTACTGCCTGATTGTCTCTGGCCTGGCAGGAAAAGTGATAGTAGTTTGGTCAGCAAACTGTGGATTGTGATTACTTGGAAAATGCTTTGCTTCCATGCAATTTTCTTTTGCATTGACAGGGCTGCACAGGCAGCTTCACTAGCATAATGGGATACCTGTATCATGTTAAAAAATGTGGGAAGGCAGCTTCTGAGCTGGAGAAAATGGCTATGAAGTGCCATCACTGTGGAAAAGCATACAGATCAAAGGCAGGACTTGTCTATCATCTCCGATCTAAGCATGGGCCGGTAAGTGCAAATTGCCATGGTTATCAGGATACTGTGGTCTTACTTCAGCTGCTCAGAGTCGAGACACATGTAGGCTTTTGTCTTTGGGTGGGTAATGAGGGATAGCAAATAGAGTGTTCTGTCCTTGATACTTCTTTTTTCTAGATGCAGCTGTTGCTGTTTGTGACTAGGAAAAAGTTTTTAACAGTAAATCACCATGGCAGCAGTAAACTTTTCCCTATCTGACTTTTGCTTCATGGAATAATGATGCTGACATGTATGACTTGTGAGACACCTTTTTTTGCTCTTAAAAGACCCAACACTGGAGCAGAACAGGCAGTAATATGCTTGTTGTCCATGAGGGTTTTACAATAAATGATGTGATATCCTTTCAAGACCAGCGGCTGCATGAAAATCTCTGCTTGAGCCTTACTGCTGTGGCCCCTTGAATAGTTGTGGGGGTCTGTCTCACTAGTGGGATGCATTTCTGTCCTCTCTCTGTGGCAGTGAATCACAGCTGCAGCAGCATTTTTGTGAAGGGTTTAGTGGTATATTTCTTCACAGTATTTAGTTTAACTGAAATAGGAACCAGTGGAGGAGGCTCACCTTTTTTGGCCTTCATTGCAGGTCACTTTCCTCCAGGAGGAGAGAAGAACAGAGAGCCTGAAGGAAACAAAACGGGAGCCAAACAGCACAGGCAGAGTTCAGAGGAGATCTGCTAAGGTGGCAATCTACTATCTCCATGAGCTAGCTGGAGAAGAGCTGGCCAAAGAGTGGCCCAAGAGAAAAGTTCTGCAAGACTTGATTCCAGATGATCGCAAGGTACAAGGCCTTAAAAATGTTATGTAGTGTTTGAGTCTTTCTTCATAACAGATGAGTCTTTCACTGACATCTACCCAATGTTGCCAGTGCTTCATGGCCCATGCAAAGTAATATTGAAGACGTAACGTCTTGTGGGAGGGATCAGGTTTTGCTCTCTCTGTTCTTAGATTATGGTATTGCTATAGTAGCAATTGCTGTGGTAGAAGTATTTTATCCAGGCTGTAATGACTTTCAAGTCCTATTGCTGTCACTTTCAGTGGGCACAAGTAACAAAGGCAGTTATAGGCAGTATGTTGCTCACAAGCCATAGGCTGCAGATCACTTCTGCCATGCAATGACATTTTATAGTTTTTCAGGCCTTGGAGGCTCCAGGAGTATCTTTTAGGCTGTAAAGGAAACCCAAGGGAAAAGGGTGATTTATGATTTTAATGGGATAAGTACATTTAGAGGAACTGTTGTAGTCAAAGGTAAGGGAAGCTTTGGATTCTGGTATTGTGAGGGTTTTATAGATTCAGTTATGTTTGAAGAGAGGAGACAGAAAAAGGTTGGTTATTTAGAGTCTGGCTGTTAGAGCAGGAGAAGAAATAGCACTTCTGTCTCTGGGAGAGAATGGGATGTACTTGGCACTAAGCGTAGCCAATGTTGCTTCCAGCTTTCAATTCCATCTCTTTATCTCAGCTGAAATATACTCGTCCTGGACTGCCAACATTTAGTCAAGATGTGCTGTGCAAATGGAAAACTGAGATAAAGATGTACCGAAGAGTTCACTGCCCAAATGAGGTAATCTTTAAATACTTGTTTCCAAAGCCTCAAAGGGGACAGATTTCAGGACAGGTTTCCACAACTATGAAACTGCAGTTTGTCTCTCTTCCCCCTGCCCTACCCCATCCCCAGCGTTTTCTCCCCAGTTTTCAGGCTTGCATTGTTTTCAAGTAAAAGAATTGCAGCATAACATTTTACGTGAAGCTGTCTCCCGAAAGCAAGTGACCTATTGCACCAACCAGTAACCCAGAAGAATGTCTTGCACCTACCTCCTGTTTCAGCGTCTGAGCTGTTGGCTGAGCATGATTTAGTATCCTGAGACTGATGCTTAAAGCTCCACATGGGGACTGTAAAGCTGCCCTTTAACTGAGACCATTGATGTTGGATGCAGTACTTGTGTGCCACTAAATACAAGAGCAGGGCAGGAGAGAGAGACTTGTCTTGTGCTTGCCCTGTGGTTTGTTTAAAATTAACGTCTGCTGTGCTGCTCTTCACGCAAAATGCAAACTCTGTCAGGCTTTTGATAGAAGGTAACAGTGACAGGATTATTATGTCTAAATTTGCTCAGAAACTGGAAGCATTTAACTTACTGAAAGCTTAAGTCTCTTAACAATCATTTTACCTGAAGCTTTCTGTTTTGTAGGGCTCGGTATCTCCCTTCATCTGCCTCTCTTATCCCTTTTGGAATTGACTTCCAGAGAATAAGACAGGAAGAACTGATTTCTTACTAGAGTTTTGCTGACATGAACTTTTTTTACTGTTTCAGGGTTGTGAATCTGTATATGGCAGTGTCTCAGGACTCAAATCTCACCTTGGCACGTGTACCTTGGTTGGTAACCTTCCTCTACTGTCTTTTATACCAGTAGCCTTACCATCCCTATCCCTCACATATGTGCTTGTTCAAGCTGTTGTCCTGCCATCTGCTAATCTGAGTTCCTCACAGTCTTGAGTGCTTCCGTATGAGCTGATGGGTTTGCCATAGCGAACACTGCTTGAGGCAAGGAGGAAGCATCTTAATGGCATGCATTTTAGTGAAACTGCAGTCCTGCCTGTAGATTCACAGCTACAAGAACATTTTTTCCAGGTGCAGTGCTGGAGGCCTTGTAACATCTCACAGATGTTACAAGGTGAGATGCTTTGTAGGCATAACTGGTAAATAATGTCAGTGCTGCTGTAGCTAAATCATTGTCTGGTATGAGTAAGAGTTTCTACTTCCTACGGCTGGCTTATATGTGAGCCAAATTCAAATACAATATATAGGTGTATCAGCCTTCTAGGCAGCAATTGGTGAGGGTATTTTTTTGTTTTATTGCCAGGGAGACTTTGTGGCTGGTAAATACAAGTGTCTTCTGTGTGAGAAGGAGTTCATTTCAGAGAGTGGAGTCAAGTATCACATCAACTCCATGCACGCTGAGGTAAGGCAGGCAGAATGGAAGTCTTCACACCCCAGGTTGTTGGAGGGAAGGAAATGCTGGATGCTTGCCCTGTTTTATTTTTATCTTGCTCGCTGTTGGGAACAGGATCCTAGACTCAGTGGCCTTCGATTTGTTTCATATGAGTTGGTCTGGGGAACAAGTACTGTGTCATGTCACATGTCTTGTCCCCAGTTGCTGCTGCTGCTCAGTTCAGCAATTCAGCATTTCCCATGCCTTTAGCAACAGCCAGATCAAATCTCTGAGACAGTGACACCTGAGGAGGAACATCAAAGAACAGAGCTTTGTTAGGCAGCTGCTTTTCCAGATCTCACATTTCAGGAAATCATTGTTCCACAAAGCAACTTTATTATAAGCCCTGATAGTCTTTATATAGTATTTCCATCATCAATACCAACCTGTTACCCTCTCAACCCTGCAGGACTGGTTTGATGTGAATACAACTACCACCAAAAGCTTTGAGAAGCTAATGAAAATCCGCCAAAGAGAAGAGCAGAGGAAGCAACGGAAGAAACGTCCTTTGAGCAGGGGGAAAAAGAAGAGAACCGCAACCCTGGCTGTGAAGAAACTCCCCACTGCTGGAGTTGAGAAAATTAGGAGAACTAAGAGAGGTCGTCCAAAGCGGGTGGACAATGAGAGTGGTGCAAGTAGTGAGGAGGGGGAGCCCCAAGTTGCACAGAGAGCCGAATTTCCAAAAACCAGCCACAAGCGAGGCCGGAAGTAAATCCCTAGAAGAGAAGGAATAATCCTAAAGCTTTTCAGTTACAAGCCCCACCTCTGTCAAGCTCATAACCCACAACACTGATATAAGCAACTGAGTATCTTTGGGACTGTGACTCCATTCTACTCAGTGACCTTGATTTTGAGACTGTTGCCTCTGGTCATTTGTGAGAGACTTCAAACCAAAGCTGTGGTGCAGAGGATGCCTCTCCTGCTGTAGTACCCCTGAACAGTGGCACTAGCAGTGTACCCAGTGTAGTTACTGCTGTGGTTACAGTCTCAGTTTGGGTCACATTAGTTGCTTGTTTAGTGGTTTCCAGTACGGCAGGTGTCTGTTACGCCATCTTCCTCTGATGGGTGAGATCAGGGTTTTTTTATAGCAGTTCTTCCTCTAAGAGACTGACCAGCACAGTGTTTAGGTCTTTTTAAAGGGGGAATCCTTTCTTGCACAGTATGCACACAAACTAAACAGTGCTGTGCAGAATACAAAGGTTTTAGCTTGCCCTGTAACTGTCCTGTCATCAGCAAGGCAGCCAACAGGCAGGAAATACATCCCTAGTGTGTGTTCCACTCTGTTGCACAAGGCACTGTCTGATGCTTAGGCTCAGCACCACACAGTAGCATGTGAGCTCTGGTGTGCTCGGAAGTGATGGTACATAATTATTACCCTTGTCAGGAACCCAATATTCTCCTGGCATCTGTCTTCTGTAGCACTGGGCATTAAATGTATGTAAAGGGTCTTCCAGTCCAGTCAGGAATAATTACTCTCCAGCCTTTTGGATATTCACTGACCCTACAAACCCCAAGTAACTAATGCAGCGAGGTGGTCTTCTTGAGCCCTCTGAATACTACTTGTTTCAGACTCACTTGAGAAACAAACTTATTGCAAGACAGTGCATATATACAGTAGCAGTCTTGCTGATTCTAAAACCCAGGTCCCATTGAACTGCCTTGCCAGTGGTGTTCTTTGTCATGCCCATGCTCCTATAGCGTCCTTTTTTTCTGTGCTGTGAATGGCACCTTTGTTGTGTTACATCACCTGCTTCTTTCCAATACTGCTTCCTTTGTGTGAATGAGGTATATTAGCTGTGGCTTCCCTGTGTGAAAAAAGATTAAAAGAAAAGGGTTAATTATTCTAAGCCACATGTTGGCATGAATTCTGGATCATAGGGAATATCTTCCTGTGCTCCATAAATGCAGCAGAAGCTAGTAGGAAGCAGCACCACAGGCAGTCCTACTCTGTCTTTCAGAGAAAGGGTTCTCCAGAATTTCTTTTATCCAGAGACTCACTGTACCAGGAAGCTGCAAAATTAGCAATTTTCCAGGCAAGAAAATAGGCAGCTGGCTCTGTGTTATCTCCCTGTGAATTTTCATTGTCTAACAGAGCTGTTGGTTCTGAAATTCACAGAGAAGCCTTTGCAGTGCCTGGTGAATTGGTGGACTTACATATAAAATCATAGAATGGTTTGGGTTGGAAAGGACTTTAAGATCATCTAGTTCTAACCCCCTTGCCATGGGCAGGGATGCCTCACATTAGACCATGTGTCCCAAGGCTGTCCATCCTGCCCTTGAATGCTGTGAGGGATGGAGCATTTTACCACTTCTCTGGACCACCTGTGCCAGGGCCTCACCACCCTCACAATAAAGAGCTTCCTCCTAATGTCTAACCTGAATATGTGTGATTACCAAAATAATCACACTGGCCCTGACAATGGGAAGTGCTGTAAGGCCAAGGGTGTTCTCAGTAACTGCCTCTCCACTATCAGTAAATACTATCAGTAAATATCAGTTTAAATGCTATCAGTAAGCAAAGCAGAGAGCAGCGGAGCATAGTCTGTCTCTCATGAGGATTAACACATGTATGGTAGTGAGACAGTATGTAGTGCTCTATTGTGATTTACATGCAGTGGTTACATGGCCTTTTGGAGCCAGCCATTCACTGTTGTTGCAGTGCTGTGCTGAAAGTATAAATAAGTGGGCTCGTATGCAGGGTGTGTAAGGTGTGCAGGAAGGTGGGCAAGGTCAGAAGACAACAAAATAAAGTGTCGCCAGTGCAGGAATGTGGGGTTTTTTTGTCTGTTTGTTGTGTAGTGTTCTTGGTTCCATCCCTGTTTGCACAACACACCCCAACCTGCCCACTTGGTTTTCCTGCATGCTTTGGTCCCGTTGAGATGTCTGCATTACTTCTCTTCAGTAATCTACACAGCTGTCCTTTGACCACACATGTTTACTGCCTTCCCATCCAATAGATGGACAAGATAAACCAATGAATTAAAGTAGGTTTTTCTTAGTGAATTTCAGTCTAGAGTCCTTTTTACTGTAATCTGTGAGTTACTAACCAGACCTGCTTTCTAAATTACACTTCCAGGTGGATACTTTGTGACCACCTGGATTTTGTAGTTACATCAACATATTTTCCCACATAATATTGTGTGTGGAAAAGAATCCTTATCCAATAGTCCATTCATATTCCATTAGTGTTACAGCAGATTGTTTGCTGGATTGGCTCAAGCTGGTAAAAGGTGATAGCACTGCTGCACCAGCATAGTCCACTGCTGCTGGGGAGTGTGATCTGTGCAGGAGCACCTGCATCTTGCTGTAGATAGACTAAGGCAGGCTACCCAGTATAACTGCAGCTGTGCTCTACTGCTCTGAGAACACTGGAAAACACAGCCATGAGGAAGGTATTTTAATCAGGGAATCCGCAACAACGTGTATCCAGGGCTATAAATTAACATTAATAAAACAGCTAATTGTACTATGGCTTACAACTGTTAAAGCATCCATTAGGCTACTGCTCAGTCTGTTGTTGAGATCAGTTGCATCTGCAACATCTTGCAAATACAGGTATAGAATAAAGAATCAGAATGGTTTGGGTTGGAAGGGCCCTTTAAAGACTGTCTAGTCTACCTCTCTTGCCATAGGCAGGGACACCTTTCACTAGATCAGGTTGCTCAAAACCCCATTCAACTTGACTTTGAACATTTCCAATGATGGGGCATCCACAGCTTCTCTGGGCTAGTGTCTCACAGCCCTCATCATAAGAAGTCTTCCTACTTAACTCTACCCTCTTTCAGTTTGAAACCATTGTTCCTTGCCCTGTCACTGTGAGCCTTTTTGAAAAGTCTCTCCATTTTTCTTATAAGCCCCTTTATATGCCTAAGGCTGCAATAAGGTCTCCCCGAAGTCTCCTCTTCTCCAAGCTGAGCAACCCAACTCCCTCGGCCTTTCTTCATAGGAGAGACATTCAAGCCCTGTGTTTTCATAGCCCTTCTCTGACAGGTCCATGTCTCTTGTACTGTGGGCCCCAGAACTGGATGCAGTGGTCCAGGCAGGGTCTCACCAGAGCAGAGTACAGGGGGAGAATCACCTCCCTCAACCTGCTGGTGATGCAGCCCAGGAAATGTTTGGCTTTCTGGGCTGCAGGCACACATTATCTCATGTCCATTTTTTTTGTATCTCCAAATCCTTTGCAGGGCTGCTCTCCATCCATGGATCCCCCCCAAGTGTGTATTGACATTGGGGATTGGTCTAACACATGTGCAGGACCTTGCACTTGGCTTTGTTGACCTTCACATGGTTCACATGCACTCACTCCTCAAGACTGTCCAGGTCTCTCTGGATGGCATTCATTCTCTCCAGCATGTCCACTGCACCACACAGCTCAGTGTCATCTGCAGACCTGCACTCAATCCCCCTGTCTACATCACTGATGAAGTTTTAAATACTATCAGTGCCAACAGGGACCCCTGAGGGACACCACTTGTTGCTGATCTCCATCTGGACATTGAGATGTTTGTTGACTGAAACTCTTTGGATGTTGCCTTCCAGCCAATTTCTTATCCACCGAGTAGTCCACCCATCAAACCCATCTCTTTCCAATTTAGTGACAAGGATGTTGTATCTTTGAAGGAGCCTGAGGGATGTAAGTGCAATGTACAGAGGTTACTGGGTGCCTTTCATCTTATTATACTGAATTTCACCTGTTGTTCCATCTTCTAACCATGGTATTCTAAAATGCTTCAGCATTTCCTTGTGGCTACCTTTCAGTTTTTACTGCTCTGCGTAATCCTCAAACATGGTCTTAATCCCTGCCCACTTTGTAGATCATGGGGGGAAATCTTGAACAGCCCAGTGTTAATGTGGGATACCCCCAGTGGCCTCACTCCCCTGAAAATGCCAAACATCTCCAAATGCTTCCTCTAACCTCCAACCAAGAAAACCATCCGGTTTGATGCATGGCAGTCTCACTTTTTAAAAAGATTTAGGTGAGGGACTTGATCAAATCTTTTGTAAATTCAAATCAATGCAGCAAGAAATAATTGAAGATGTGTGGAAAAGTCTTCTTGTGAGCTTTACCTGATTTCAAAATACTTGAGATGTGTGAAGTCTGTCTTCCTTTTATGGATATCCTGGTGCCTCCTTCATACCCCATCATTCCTTTGCACGTTAGTCCTTCTCTTTACTGTAACCCTTATTGCTGCACAGACTGGCCTCTGGTTTCCTTGAGGTGAAGCAGCTGCCCACAGACACAGCACCACGTTGACCACATCTGTCCTCATCCAGGGCAGCAGGAGCACTGACAGCCGGGGTGCAGTGCTGTGCTCTGGATGCCCAGAAAGAGCAGGGCCATCCATGGGCAGGTGAAGTATAGACCTTTCTGTCCACACAGCACACACATGGATAAGCATGACGTGCAGCATGCGGGGGCTAAGAGCCCTCCCTGGTCATGAGGTCATGATTTTCATAACCTTCATGTTTGGTTCTGTTTCATCCAGGAATCACTAGGATTGTTTCTCTGTTCATGGTTATTCTATGATAAAATAAAGCCTTTATTTGAGCAACTAACTGGCTTTGGTTACCTGCTTCTGACTTAAAAAACCTTTGAGCATAATGCAGATGGATTTTTGGACCTGATACAACATGCATAAAGAGGGACACTGCACTAGTTAATGTCTCAGCAGAGCTGCCCAAGAGAACCACCCCCAATCTCAGTGTTAATCCTGCTGTATTTTAATTATGAAATTGACCTACTTAATGTTGAAGGCAGCCGGCCTTCAGAGCCAAGCAATGCTTGGAGAAGTAGTGTCATGCTTAGAGTTGTTTTCATCACTAGCATCACCGTCAAGCGGTGTCCCACAGTGACACTGGTGGTCCAGGCCCCAAAAGGACACAGCAGCTCAGGCAGTTCAGATCACTGAATCACATTGCTCTGGTCCCAGGCCCTGGCTCTGCTCACAAGAACACTGCAGCTGCACAAGGAAACATCCAAGTTACAGGTAATACTAGTGCAAGGAAAATAAAACAGTGGAAGAGCTTCCCTGTAATGGTGTTGTGTCCTCACCAACAGAGATTTAAATAACCAAGTCAGATGTATTCCATATGGCTATACAGCCAAGTGTATGATATATGCTGCAGTGATTTTACTCCCATGTGCACACACAGCAGTCAGGCTGTTTCATGCAGGCAGGAATGACAAATTGCCTGTGTTGTCTCTGCATAAGATATATCCCTTGTTTCACAGTTCCTGCAAACTTCCACACAACAGCTCCATTTCCTTGGACATTCTGGCATCATTAAAAAACCTTAAACATCTCTAAAACTACAACACTGGATAACTTGCAGGGTAAGTAATCTGAAAAGTTCTGAATTATTAATAACTTTCAACAACCTTTTGAACAATGGAGAAATCCTTGAGGATTAAGAAGAAAAAAGCACCCCCAGATCAGTGAGATATTCTTGCTCCTCTTCCAAGAAAAGGTGAAACAGGACTCTAGAGTAAACTGCATGGTCAGTGAAAGTGGAGCTGATCAGTGTGGGATCTAGTCAAACTAACAGAACAGTTGACATTAAAGGATATCGTAAGTAAAAACCAACCAATGTGGTTTCACAGAGAGCAATTTTCTGTAAGCATTTTGTGATTGATTACGTGTCCAGGTTGGTAAACGTAGGACATCATAAATTCATGTAGGCATTGTGCTTGGCCCCACATGTTATACAAGTATTGGTACAGCATATTAAATGCTAATTAGTAAACAAGGATTTTTTTCCTAGAGTATCCAGAGCCTGCAGCTATTTGTCATCTTTATCAAGAATGCCAATGAAATTATACAGCGATTGCAAAGAAAACCTGCAGATTAAAAAAGCTGATGACAAATGAAAGCTATGAAAAGCTGGATCATACAACAAAGTTTTCTGGAAAAGCTGATCAACAAAAAATGCAGTTTTAAAGATCTCTGCTGGAGTGATTCCTGTGAAATACAATGTTCTAGAAAGAAGAATTCATTATGCACTGTCTGGGGTTCCCACTAGAGCAGGCTTCCCAGATTAGTGTGGAGTCTCCTTCTCTGGAGATACTCCAAACCTTCATGGACAAGATCCTGTGCAACCTGCTCTAGGACTGGATGATCTCCAGAGGTCCCTTCCAACCCCAACCATTCTGTGATAACACATGAATCTGTGTTGTAAGCCAGACATGAAGGGCACAGAGGATGCATCTTGGCACCATCTGTGGCTGCTCAGAAGGATCTGTCCTCATTGTTCCAATCTCAAGTGGAAAAGGAGGGTGGCAATGCTAGGGGAAGAGTGGCTGACAAGGGCAGTTTGGCATGGAGCAGCAGCAAGCAGAAAAGATCTCCTGGATGCTCCAGGCACCAGCTCCTGGCAAGGCACTTTCCAGTTCCTCCTCTCTCCATCCCTCCCCAGGTGAAGCAGATTGACCCAAAACATGCAGGGGTCTTCAGTTCCCACCTGCCAGGATCCGGTGTCTCAATGACAAGCCTGTATTTCTTCATCCCTTCCATGGTCCAGGCCCCAGAACACAGCAGCTCAGGCAGACTCTGCAAGGCCCAGAGCCAGGTACTGCTGCAGTTTGGCCAGGTCCAGGTCCAACAAGGGCTGGGCGCTCCACCAATCACTGCAGGTCACTTCATCCTACCTTGCCAGCCTTTCACTGTATCATTAATCCAGACAGTTAAATGGCAAACTGTTGCACGTATGCAACCAGATTTCCAGACTTCTACAGACAAAGGGCAGAGTTGAGAGGGGCCAGGCAAGCCTTGCTGTGACCCTGGAATGCCATTGGGATGGACTAGACAAAAGATGCCCAAGAGATGCTCCTCAAGAAATGCCTCTGTCTGCACCTCCTGTTGCCACCAAGGCAAAGTCCCCCCACAGGGACCATTTTCCATGCTGTGCTGCAGAGATGCAGAATCTGCATTACATCGCTTCATGCTTCAGTGCCTCTGGAGGGCAAGCTACTGAAAAGTTCAGTGCTGCAGTACCAGTCCTGCTGT